TGTGGTAGGTTCTTTTATTCATAAATAAACAAAGTTCAAACTAAGAATCATGACGGCTACTATCACTTCCTTCGGAGTTTCATAATGTCAAACCTATAGGCCTAAATGAACCCCATGATTTAATTATAATTTTTACTTTCGTCATTGAACTAATTTCCTAGTTTTATAACCAGAGTAAAACATTTTTGAAATTTAGATGTCTGAAAACCCATAAAACATACAACTGATAAATTTCATATTTTTTCTATCAATTCTAAAAGACAGCTTTACAAAACCAGCATTAAAACGCTTTTAACGTATGTAAATCAACTCAGAACATTTGCTATCGTGAAATATACGTGACAAACTTTCGAAAACATTTTAATCACGGCAAGTCCAAAAACTGCCAAACGGATGATAATCAAGATATGTCATACTCCTAGACAGGTCCTGCTTATGATGGATATAAGACGCAAGTCCAATGTCTGCCTGGATAGATGACATTACACACTCAGTCATCCTTTCAGGCAGCACCAATAGTTTTGTAATTTTGTATTTTTTTCTTTTATTTTTCTTGGACGCACATTCCTTTAGGAAGTGTGCCACTGATATAGAAAGTGTAGTTTCTGAATAAATAAATACTGCCTGTTCTACCTTTAAAACGCGGCCTAAAGTATGACGTATTTACAAGCGCATGCGTAAAGAGAAGAATATCCTGGATGACTGAGACGAGACAGATCGTTCTAAGCAAATGCAGAGCAGATGTTTTCACGTGCACCCTGCGCACGTCTCAGAGTCATTATAACAAGTCAAGATTTAAAACATTAATTAATCAACGAAAATGCCAATTAAATATTTTAAAGAATAAAAACATTTACAAACTCTGTATAGGCCTATGTTGTGTAAAGTAAGGAATCTGAAGTTATTGGAGCAATTTCAAGCAGATGAGTACAGTACAGTTTAGCAACAAGGGGAGGATATTGAAACTGATAAAATACGATACGAGCCCACCGTCGCAATAATTTCTGTTGTTGATTGATTTTCCCGTTACTTCATAACCTAAAGGCATAATATTCCATAGGTTCACTTATATCTTCCTCACATTCTGATATTTGAGATCAATTTGAGCAATTCCTTTGGGCACGATCTGGTTATAGGGACAAAAGGTAAAAGATGAGAGGTTTTGACCAATTAAATCCTCCGCGTTCCGGTAATTGATAAATTTAAAGCACTTATGGATGTGTGAATGAACTTAACAATGTTTGAAAAGTATACCCTGAACTCATGGAACTTAATCCACTCAGGAGTCTTGAAATAAACACTTGGAACACTCGACAATTCCCTTTCCGCGTGATTCCCAATCATCTGGTTAGGCCTATTATTTTCTTGATAATTGATGATAATGATATTTGAATAGGGCATGTTATATCAGATTTTAGCTGAGATTGTGAGGTTAGCTTTTGAGTCTAGTGAGGTGTAATATAATAATATGACACTTTAAAAAATTCTGCGGTTAAAGTTACGTATTTATGGGGTTAATATAGGCAGAATATATAGGCCTATTTTGACGGCATATATGATTGCAAATAAACATCTTCAAGAACACAAACTTTAGAAGTAACTTTACTATCCGTCTGCCCGGAATACCAAATAGGCAATGACGTCATAATATTACAGTACCTGGGAAATTATAGTGTTGTTAGCGTAAATAACTCTAAAAAAGCAACACAATTAACCGACAACGTACTTAGAGAATCAATTCCAAACACGTGTCATGCTTAAGTTGGTTTATTACTTTTAATTATGTATTGCTAATAAATTAATTGATTGACCTATATCGTATTCATATGTACCATGATTTATGATTTACTATTGTATATCTATGTTTTATTTCTAGTTTTAACAATTCTTTTGAACAAAATAAAAGCATGCACACGCATTAGAACGTGTTTCATAACGAGGTTTGCCACGCGTGATTAACAGATGGTTTTCCACGTACACGTGCATCTCAACTGTACTCTAAGACTTCTTCATATTCAGTTGGGAGATCGCATGTCCTTATGTTGGTGAGGCATTAACACTATTATGTTCGCAAATCATTCACCAATTTTACTAACGCCTGTGCATTAACAGTTAAGCACATGATTTGAAATAACGAATGAGAAGTTTGTGGAAAGAACCAGTGAATCATGGATGCACGTAGCGAACTTCGTTGAAAATAAACAAATGAATGCACGGAATGAAACCTCTGTAAAACAGTTGTAAGAGGCAGTCCGCATTGACTAATTAGAGAGAACGTATATAACTATAAAAATGCTACTTTGAACATAAATTGATAGCAAATATTTCTACAGTCAACAAAAATTTTGGTAAAAATATAACTTGATTCAAAACTTAAGATCTTTGAAGAAAATGCTAAAAGGAGATTTGTCGAAGTGAATACGTATTCGTTTTAGATGTGTATATGAGACAGACATACCCCTATGTTTTTGTATGAAGAAGATGAATTTCGAAACAAAATAATACTGCTTAACGTTAATGAATACTCAGATACGTAAAATTAATTATCTGGAAGTATAGTCCAAATATTTGTTGGAATACACTTTAGTGTGTGTTTGGGTCAACGTGTTACGTATATGAGTAGAGTATTAAGCAGTTTTACTGTACATGTTATATACAATAACATTCAAAAACTCCGAGAGTTAATTACAATATACAAACAAATAACAAATAAATAAAATTAAAACAGCACGTCACGTGTGTTCACCAAATGCCTGAGGCAATAAGGAATAGAAGTGACCCCCAGTCTATTTTTATTGACGAAACCAGAGACGAATATATGAGCATCA